AGGGAAGTAAAGTTGTTTATTTAGTTTCGGCTTTGGTAAGGGGAAAAATGTGCATTCCTTTAAACAAAAGCACTAAAAGCAAAAAATAAGCACTAAAAACAAAAAAATAAGTGCTTTAGAGAAAACGTAAGCACCTACAAGGGTTTTTATATTTTATTTTCAAATATAAGGACTTATAAGCACTTGTAACGACCACTACAAACCCTGGTTTTGGATACAGAACTGTTTTGGGTTCTACAAATGAATGATCCATTTTTAAAAACATGCTGGCAAGATGCTAAAAATGGAAGTACAGTCAAAAGTCGTTAATTCGGACACCCATAATCCGGAATGATCTATAATCCGGACCTCAAAGCTACAAACTTTCTGTGCATGCGTTCACGCAGCGGCGTTTACGAGAGCGCGTAAGACCCTTACGGCTGCGAATATGTTTGTGCGCATGCGCATTTAATGTGTAACGGAGTTATACGCTAAGCTAAAGTTATCTAATTCAGTTAATGTTGCAGATTGCGTTGTTCCTTAATCTTCGAATTGGATCTGGCTTATTATTTTTTGCAGACTGTTAGAGCAATTTTATAAAAGTAAGCTTGAACTTTCGATTATGTCAAATAGAATTTCCGATATATATTTACTACAAAGCGAAAGTATGTTTTGAAATCCGAAATCTGTTTATCAATTTCACGCTGCTCTGCGGCAGAGGGGGGGGGCAGAAACGTCATTATTAGATTATGATAGATTAGAAAGATTATGTCAAATAGAATTTCCAATATATATTTACTAATATGTAATTTGTATCTACAAAGCGAAAGTACGTTTTGAAATCCGAAATCTGTTTATCAATTTCACCGGGCGGATTGGAAGTTGATCTGTCAACACTATCCTTATCTTCAGAGCAGATGTTTTTATTTTATTTGGATTATAATTCCGTACTAAGTTTAGTATTTCATCTTGATGTACTCCGTCTTTGATATGATTTAAATCAAGTTCCTCGTCATTATAATTCGCTTCCGATAGTGAAGAAAGTGACCCAGAGGTTATTGAAAACGAAAACATTTCAATTGACAAATTAGTCGGTATTCTCAACACAGCAATTATAGGACTTGAACAGCGGAACTTTGTAACTAAACAAGAAATTATGTCTGTTTAATAGAATTAAAGAGAAAGTATTATCACATGAAACGAAGCAACTTACATTGAAGGAAATGTTTAATAAAGTAAACAAATAAATATTAAGTTTTTTCTTTTTGTAAATTTTGATACCCTTTAGATCATAATTGTTCTTTATTTCATAAATTATGGTTTCATATTTTTAATTTTGTAATTTTTACATGCCATTTTACCAGATTTAAACTGATGATCTATAATCCGGAAAAATCGATAATCCGGAATCGCCGAAGTCCCGACGAGTCCGGATTAACGACTTTTGACTGTAATAACTTTATTGTTATTGACAACAAATGAATGATCCATTTTTAAAAACATGCTGGCAAGATGCTAAAAACGGAAGTAATAACTTTATTGTTATTGACAACATTTGTATCATAAAGAAAAAATTTTAGGAGAAAGTTAGTTCTAGTTAGTTGTTCCTAAAGAAATAAGAAAACAAATTTTGGACTTAGCTCATTCTAGCTTATGGGGAAGTCACCTGTGAACCAAAACAGCCGAACATTTGAGATATTCCTTCTATTGGCCTGAAATTAAGAAAGATGTAAAAGGTATTTTAGGACTATTATCGTATTACCATTCTTATGTACCCAATTTTTCTGTAGTAGCCCAACCTCTAACTGCATTTGATGAAAAGAAGAGCTTCGAACGAAATTATTTGGCTAAAGGAACGTGATCAAGAATTTATTTAATTAAAACTTGCCATTTGCAAGTGCTCCTAAATGTTACTCTCCAAATTTTAGTTTGCCTTTCATCATTTATGCAGATGCATCAGCATATGCTGTAGAAGCTTGTTTGGCTCAGCAAGATAAAAACAGTGTAGGACACCTAATAGCCTTCGCTAGCAAAAAGTTGACTGAGACGTGGAGAAATTATGCTGTTATTGAAAAAAAAAGTTTGCCATTATCTTTGCCCTCATAAAATTTGAAACTTATATCTTTAGTTCTGAGACTGTCAACGTTGGTGATCAATTTTCTCACCCTCTCAAATTTCTCACTGAATGTTCCTCATAAAGTTTTCGTTTGCAACAGTGGTCTCTAGCATTACAACGATTTCATGCAGTGATTACATACCGGAAAGGAAAAGATCATATTAATGCAGATTTATTATATTGATTAATTGCCTCTCACTGAAAGCATGAGTGAAAGTTGATAACTTTTGAAACATTGTGAACTGTGATCTATGAAACATGTTGACTATTTAGTTTGAACATCTTTTTAGAGCTAAAATGCTAAGCTTTTGTATTTTTCCTAACATTATGTAATATGTTTAATAATTTAAGCCAGTGTTTATTGAAGTATAATATTTAATTTTAAAGATTGATTTGTATTGGTTTGTTTATATGATAACTGCTTATATAATTTTGATGATGTGAAAGATTTAAGTTTGGAAAGTTAATTGTTTGTTACATCTTTTAAATGATTAAGATTACTGAATATATGTTGAAGTAACTTTATTTTAAAATGATAAGAATTGGTCAGTCAAATTCGAAAATTTCATGGTTTTTTGGTTGTTGTTGTTTTGTTTTGTTTCAAGAAATATTTATATGTGGATTTGACAGGTCATTGAAAGTCGCAATCAAATCTTTTAGAGGGGTGATGTGATGACCACGCATGCACAGTTTAGCCGAACGGTGTGCAACGTCTTTTCTTTCTCATGTGATTTACATTAGAAGAGAAGAGACTGATAGTAACAAAAGCAACTTGCTGTATGCCAGCATAATAATAAACGTGGTTCCATATCTATTTTTGTGTTAACTATGTGTTTTGTTCATGTGTTAATGATATGTTCGTGCTGTTAAATGTCTGTTACATGTAATGCCTACATTATGTTCACATCTATATTAAGAAGTAAATATATATTCAGAACCCATGCACAAGAATATGTGTGAAAAATTCATAATGAATCATAGAATATGTATGAGTTCTCTACATAAGGAATCAAATGGAAATTTATAATTGAGAAAGTGGCTTGGGTTGAAGCATTCCTGGAGCATATGGTTCACTTTCTGAAAACTCTTTTAAAGAAAAGCCTAAGCAAATCATCCTTGACATTCAGAGAATTAGAGACAATCATAATAGAAGCAATATTGAACTCCAGACCTTTAACATTTATATACTTGAATCTAGAAGAACCAGAATCTTTGACCCCTGTGCACTTCTAAACAGGAAGACAGTTACTGTTATCGCCTCAACAAAGGAGAGTCTTACATGTCGATTTAGACACAAACAAATATTGACAGAGAAAATCTTGAAAAAATGCAGACAAGATTATTTCATGAATTTAAAAACTGCTCATCATTCCAAACTGGGGGGGGAGCCTGTTTAAAAAGGAACTATTGTGTTAGTACATGAAGATAAAATTCCAAAATTGATATGGAATTTGGATATCATAATGGAGATCTTTCCAGGAAGAGATGGTAAGGTGAGAGCTTGTGCTGTCTGTTTGACTAACAGTAATGTAATTAAAAGACTAGTTCAGCCATTTTATCCAGTTGAACTAGAACGCAGTAAGGACAATTCCAGCGACAGTCCTTCCGGGGTGAAGGATGTTTCGAATCAAGACGCCTGCTGTGTGATGTTATTATGTTAAACTATGAACTCACAGGCCAGATGGTTCAAAATTCCTGAAGAAGAAAGTCGCATGCTATGTCGTACTGGATTTAAAATTTTTACTTCCCATATATCCATAAATATTATGTATGTTTTTTTGTTCACATTAAAATATGTTTTGTGCAAAGATGTATTGATCATTTGCATAAATATCTATCGAAGGATTGCAAATGAAAGGATGATCACCTAGTGGGCCTGGCAAAAGAACTGCAAAAACCAAGGTAGACCTGGCATTTTTTATGTTTTACCATGATTAACTGAATTTGAAATAACACATACCTCCCCTCTCCTTTCTTTAGCATCAATCAATATTTAGCTACTGATGCTTGAAGATGCAATCCTATCCAAAGAGAACTGCACACAGTGAGTGGATGAAATAGCACAAAGATCCCAAGAGAGATCCAAGTTATTGCTTCACTTAAGTAGGTTATTGTTAATGCTACAGCATTCCACTTGGCATTGGGGCCAGGTAATCCATTCCAATAAAAATTTATATATATATATATATATAAGCATTTCAGATGTTTCGAGAGAAACAGATTTTAGCTGTTACCGAATCAAAACTGTTAAATGGTCAACAAATTTGGGGATTAAATTCAAGAGTCACCACTCAAAATAAGAGCTTTTGGATGAATATATTTAAGGTGCCCCATACTACAAACTTTCGTGTATTTTTCAATATTCAAAGCAGGAATCAAAGTGAGAGGGCAGTTAATCTAAACTAGCTATCATACCATTCATAGTTGTAACCTTTTACTCATACTAATGCAGCATTTGTGTTAATCATATGACATAATTGCCATATGATTAACACAAATGCTGTCTTATGATATTTCAAATTTTTATATTAAAATGTCAAAATTAAGATTATCAATAATCATACAATTTCATATAACATTCAAATAAAATGAACAGTTTCATTTCTTCCATTTTAAGTAAAATGTCAGAGAAAAAATTAGTTGTGTATGGTGATTTTGCATAAACAATAAATTCAATTCTGAATGCAAAGAAAAAAGTTTATAAATGAAATTATAAGTGCTACTCTGAGAAAAACACAAATAATTTAAAACTGAAAGACGTTATAGCTTTACAGTTTATTTTATATGTACCTATTAAAATAAAATAACTAAAAAAATTACATTTACTTTATTATAGTAAAGTGGAAAAGTGATAAGTTGATATTCCTGTACTGAAAAATATACAAAAGATAAGTAACAGCATTACCAAAAACTGTAAAATGCATCAACTTGATCAAATGGAGAATCTTTATTTCCTAAACTAGGTACTGGCTGTTTTGTAGACCATCTGTAAATATACATATACTGAAAAGTAATATTTTAATAAAAGAAAAATGGCATCTACACATTTATCCTGCAATTAAATTACAGACATTTTCCTCTTTCAAAAGTTCACTTTAAACATCAAAGAAAAACACAAAACAGAACAAGCTTTTATTAATTATAACTCCCTTTTATATAGTACAGTCAAAAGTCTTAAATCCAGACATTTATTGCATTTGAAGATGTTGTTTGAAAGGCTTTAGTTATATTTAAAGCATATGGTCTCTGTATACTCAGAAGATGTATAATTCTTCGCCCCTGCATTGGGTATGCCCATATGGCTGCAAAATATGTGACAATTTTTTAAATAACAATATGAAAAAGAACCTTTCGGATATGTTGATTCAATCCCCAATGCTGTCCTTGCATTTGACGTAGTTTAATTGTGACAGCACTAGTACTAAGTTTCTTGATTTCGAAAATATGGGGTATTCAATTCAGTTTTTGGTCAAATGTGAGTTCTAAATATTTAAGTTGCATAACAATTTTAAGGCGAGTGAGTGCCTTGTAGACAGATTGTCGGACAACATGCCAGTGATCCTCCTTTTTTAGGTACTAGAATTTGCGATTTATTTTCCACTATGGTTAGTTTAAGATCTTGACAAAGGGTATTGAAGATATCCAAGTTTCATTAGCATTCTTTTGTCCTTCTTCTCTGGTGCATCCTTGAACAATTATAAGGCGGCGTCATCTGCATAAGCATATATTTTAGTATGCATTGTCCATTGAGGCTTTTAGTATTTTATCAAATGTGAGATTCCACAAATCAGGGCCCGCAAATGAACCCTGTCGGCAACCTCGTCTGTTTTCTTATAATAGCACTATTGTTTTGGATGATTAATAGTTGGCAGTTACATAAATAATTTTTAAGGTTATAAGGGTACTCCCTTTTATAAGCACACAGAATTTATACTTTCACAAAATAAAATAAAAATTACAATCTTGAAATTTAACAATACAGAATAATAACCCAAAAAAGAGCTTACCATTACAAATTTAAAAAATTTTAATTTTTTATAATGCAATTTGATTTTTATATTCAGATTTTAGTCTAATACTTGATACAGTTTCAAGTAAAATAGTTAAAAAAAAGGCCTACTAATTTAACCCCTTGGAATTTACAATATACAATTTAAAATCTTATTATTTAATAAAAGTTGTTCAAAATGTGAAAAGGAAATGTGAAATGTACAAATGTGAAAAGGAAAACCTTTACTATGCTGTCATTACATCAAAATGAATGCCACCTGGAGATTCTTGCAATAATTCCCAATTAATTGGCCTATTAATAAAAATTATGCTGCGGAATGATGAAAAAGTTAACACATAATAATACCTTCCTCAAAGTGTTTCCTTACGAAAAAGAATAATGTTTTTTTTTTTTTTTTTTTTTTTTTTTAGTGACTGCAGAAAAGTTTAAGATTAATATGAGAACAGCACATGTTTACAATAACAAGCTTGCAAGAATTTTTTTAATGACTGCAGAAAAGTATAAGTTTAATTTGAGAACAGTACATGTTTACAACAAGCTTGCAAGATTTTTTTTAATTAGTATTTGAGCCCTCATTAAGGACAATATGTTAAAAATGCAAAAATGCACAGTTAAGCATTTGGATGCAATTCAAACTCATCCAGTATATGGTCATTATTATTACTGCCCTTTAAACAGGGTTGCCAATCAAACAGGAGAACAAAATTCCCTGACTTTTCCAGGTGTGTTTCAAGAAAATTCCAGGCTATCTAAAGTAGTGAGCGTCAGCTGCATTGCGGGTAAATTAATTATGGTACCATTTGAAAACACAAAAATTTGCCAATTATGTATAACTATACATGTGCATATATATATATATATATATATATATAATCTCCAAAACATTATTCTTATAATTATAAAAGGAGATGTTTTCTCCCCTGAGAATTGAGGTTAGAATCTGCTCAACGAGGATTTAAAAATGTCTTTTCTGCAGACACTGCAGCTAAAGGAAGAAAGAAATCCATTTAATATTTTAAAATAAATTCAAGTATTTTATATTTATTTAGCAGCATACATAAGTAAAGAATATGTGCACTTAATTTCATGATAGTATGTCATTTTACTACTATAATTAGTTTTACAAATATGACAGTTGTGTTTTTAATTTAGTTTATTTGTTACTGTTTTAGGAAATTTTGAGTATTTTGTTATGGATGATTTGCTTCACTGTAATTTTCACTGCTTCATTACAGACATTTCTTACATTTATATTTTTGTAATCTACTGCTGTTTATGTAATTTTCAGTGCATTGCCATTTTTTTTAAATGGCTACTGTTTTCCACATGTTAGGTTGATGAAAAATTAGATTGGTGACATTGCAGGCTAATAATGAGAGAATAAAGACCAGTCACATGTCATTACATTACCTACCTTGAATTTGCTTCAAAAACAGGCTGAAATACTTCAAAAAAATTTTCTTTGGAATAATTTGTAACTGGAGGAATGTCATCATCAAACTCTGGATCAACACTATCATAAGACTGACGCTTAACAGGATTTCCAAGAACTTCATAAGCTAAAAAATAAAAGAATTTGGTTAAGAAATTTTCAATCAAAACTACAGTTTAAAACTAACGAATAAATAAATCCATTCCTATTTATGGTTATCCATATATATGACAATTTTTTGAAGTTTGTCATGAAAAAAATATTTAAACTAGATAAAGTTTTAAAGATGTTTTAAGAATTTTCAACAAAATTTTTAAAAAGTATTAAACTTGATTAAATGATTCAGTATACGTATGTATAAATGCATTAAAAAATTGTGAAAATTAAATCATGATCTGAATTACTAACTTTAAAAGATATATTAGGTACTTCACGAGAGTGTATATATATATATATAGAGAGAGAGAGAGAGAGAGAGAAAAGAAAAGAAAAATAGTTCTAAACCATGCGTTAAAATCAAGGATTTTATGCAAATTAAAAACCTAGATTAATAGTTTAGACAAATACCATTGAATGTGTTAGGCATAAAAAGGGAATTTAAGATGCTAAATATATATTTCAAGGATTTGTCAAAAGAGATATTCTAATTTTATAAAGAAAATAATTTATGAAGATATAAATGATAATATTCTGATTTTGTCTTGCAGAATATGTACTCTGTAAAACAACGTTCATTTCCTGGACTACAATACTATATATATACCGGGTGGCCATAATTAAACTGACAGTGCTCACAGTGTTCTGTAGCGCGATCTATTTGCGAGAATGACGCCACATTTTTTAGGAAGATTAAACAAGACGGAGAAGAAGGATTCCGGAAAAAAACAAATTAGTTCCAAAAGTCACCGCTAGGGGAATATTTGGCGCTGTGTAATAGAAAATAGTGTGTTAACAAATGCAAATCAATACGGAAATTACCTTTTCCTTTCCATTCAAATGAGGTTCAAAGTGGCTGCTGTTGTTGTGAACCACATATTGCATTCTGTGCACAGTATGCACAAGAGCAGGAAGTAACATGTCTACAGGAATCTCCCGTACATTCCATAATATGTTATCCTTCAACGTAGCCAGGTTCTGAACCACTCCTTGATAGACCTTGGACTTAAGGTAACCCTATAGCCAGAAGTTGCATGGGGCAAGATCAGGCAACCGAGGTGGCCATGCAGTTGGAAAGTAGTGGCTAATGACTATTTCTGTTGTGAATTTCTGTCATAGCATCTGTTGCACCCATACAGGAACGTGTGGAGGGGCTCCATCTTGCATGAAAATGACTTCCCCCAGGCACTGTCTTTGCTGAAGTTCCGGAATGACAAAGCTGTTCAACACGTGGTGATATTTCTCTCCGATAACAGAACAGGTTTCCGGTCCTGTTGGGGTGATGTTCTCATAGAAGAATGGACCTACGATAAATTCTGCTGTGAACCCACACCAAACAGTTACCTTTGGTAAATGTAAGGGAATTGCTGTGACAGCATGTGGTGATTTGTCATCCCAAATTCGGCAGTTCTGGGTATTCACAGTTCCATTCAGGTAAAAGTGGTGTTTTGTTCGTCTCCCCATAAGATTTTCCACAGCCAAGCATCATCCACCTCGATTCTGACAAGAAAGGTGAGAGCAAAAGTCAATCGCTTATCATGGTCGAGGTACAGTAACTCCTGTACACGGCTGATCTTGTACGGATAGAAGTTGATAATCTTTCGTAAGATTTTCCATACCGTACTGTAAGGCATATCCATATTCCGAGCTACTTCACGAGAGCTAGAGGTGGCAGCAACATTGTCTGGTCCTCTGTCGACAATCGCCGTGGCAACTGCTTCGATTGTATCCTGTGGTACAGGTTTTTATCCTCTGCCTGACTGAACCTTCGGAGAACCTGTTTTCTCAAATGTCGCAACCATTGCTTTTAGCCCATTAACCCAAGTGGCCGAGCCGTATATATACGTTCAACCAAAATTGTGCTCTAAGCAGCCAGCAAGCATATATACGTCCAACCAAAATGCTCTTCTAAGCGCCCAGCAAGCATATATACCTCCAACCAAAATCTTGCTCTAAGTGGCCAGCAAGCATATATGCGCTCGCGTTAGGATTTCTTTCCCCCGAGCAATTTCGACAGGAGTGATTGCACTAATAGGCTCCCTGCTGGGAAGGGTTGCGCTTTTCTGAAATTTAGCTTGTTATTTTGGGGTTGCTGCACATAACTGTTGAGTCGCCAAAAATCTATGTTTTGTTCGAATTTTTAATACTGCTATCGAATTAGCCAAGACAGCAGAAATACTTTCAACACGTACTGAAAGTAAAAATGGAATTTATTTCTTCATCTAATATCTAAAATGGAGAATAAAAATAATTGAATAATAACCGCTCTTCAACTAAAACCTGGTTTGACAGTTTGAAGCTAATATATAAATCCAGAGTTCCTATTTTTTAATTAGAATCGACTATCCGCAACACAATAATTTGAACAGAATCATTAAAATTAATTTCAAAATGTTAATGATTTAACGTACCTTAACATTTAATGAAGATTTGTTTTAATAGAAGCATATCGGTATAGTATTGAAAATTTATATATACAAGAGATGTTTTAATGACAGACTTTTGACAGCATAAGACTGATATTAACGTTATAAACATAGAAACATCTTTATTTTCGGAAATACTAGAATAATAAACATGTTACAAGAATTTTAAATAATCGTAAGCTTTAAACTGATACTCGTTGAAACCAGGACTGACGTCACAGCAGGAGCGGCAGAATTAAAAGGCGAGAAAATTTTTAGAATTTAGAAAAACACTGAGCAGCAAAATTTAGGGATGGCAAAAATTTTGGAATTTAGGTAATACACAAGGCAGAGGCATTTAGAAGCTGAAAATGTTTTTTAATTTAGTAATGCACCGGAAAGCAAAATTTAAAACCTTCAAAAGTTATGCCGATCGACAAAATGCCTAAAGTAAACGAGTATAAAAGTAAATGAGTAATAAAATAAATATTATAATCATTCTTTTCTATACAAACTTTTCCTTAACTTCATTTATTATTAAAATTATTGTTATTATTATACCAATACCAGCTACTTATGGATCTTTCACTACATATTTTAAAGGCGATAGCTGAATTCATCTCCCGCAGTAATCTATAGTATAATAAACATATATTTAAATAGCTTATTGTTTCGTATATGTTTGGGAAAATGGACTAATTTTCATAACAGCAATCTTACAAATAATAAGCAATTTAAATCCGAAAAAAATTTTATTATTCCAAAGGGCGTTATTAATTTCGTTTTTGGCATTTTGCGTCGATTCACTTTCTGCGTTGATTCACTTTTCAAACTGTTGCCATCAAATATTACAGCCCTGTATTATATTTAAAGAAATTAAATAATGAAGAATCTTCATAAATGTATGTATGTTTCTCGCATTGTGATAAAACAACGGTACTTAGAGCCATCGGATTTTGAATAATGTAATCTTCCACCAAATATCGGCATCTGGAAGCCCTAATTTGGAATTTGTTTTATTATCGATTTCATATTTTGGAACACTGTAAGGAATTCTTTATAAACAAACTCAACGATTTCAAAGTGAGCAATAACAATATTGTACGGGGGGAGGGGGGAATTATCTCCAACGCTCGAGACTGTGTTTCGGAAATTCTAGTGATACGCTCATTTTAAAATTAGTTTGTGATATTGCTGTTGAATTGAATTCTATGGTTTAAGTGCAAAGAACATGATATTTAATAAATGAAAGTAACACACAAAACCTTAAAATTGGGCGTAATGTAAAATCTGAAAGTTTTCAGGTTTTATTTATTTTTTCTTCTCATTAAAACTGCAGTTGTGACGTGAATAGCAGCAATTTTTCTTTTCCATGCATTTCCATTTAACTTTATCAAATCTGTCTATCAGCACAGACATCTAGTGATTATCTAATCAGTATAAAAATGTAGTCATTTAATACTTATGTGTAAAAAAAGTTATACATATTTTATTACAGTGTATTGTACAGAGTCGTAGCTTGTGTTTTCAGCGCCCAGGGACAACTGAAAACCCCCTACTGCTTGCCAAATGGAAAACATTAATTCTAAAATTCGTAACATCAGTTTGCCCCTTGGATTGCGCCCGGGGACAGTTGCCCCCCTCTATACGCCCCTGTATTGTAAAAGTGTTGCTTAAACACTTTCATAAAGCAGTGAATGAGAAGGAAAAAAAAAACGAGCTTCTCACTTTCCGTACAGCTGTTAACAGGATCATTATTTTGTTTTCAAACAGAGAACGAAATTTTCAGAATAGAGAATTTTAAGAGGATGAAATATGTGGAAAGAAATTAATGGTGTTACCGCAATTTCGGTTTGCGCATTTCCATAAAATATGCACAAATCTATAACAATCACTTGAATGATTTTTTAATACCCAATTTAGAAGACAGACCTGATATTTGATCAATATGCTTTCAGTTTTATCTTCTTCTCGGTATTAATAGATTGAATACGTAATTCAATTAAACTTTTCCTTGAAAGCATCAATTTCATTTGTAAATGTTTTGCAATACTAAATACTAATATTATTAAAATTCCCAGCCTTAGTAAAAGGGCAACCACTGGCAGAGTGAATAAGACTACTGTAATTGTTTTAAGCCGGCGTTAAAATCCGAGAGAATGAGGTGGCTACTTAGTCTTTTTGTATTTTTTTCCCCCCATGAGCAAAGCGAACACGAGCTAGTTGCCCTTAAAAAATCCTCCTCTGTGCATTCTTTGCCTTAGGGAAATAGCCCTCGTATGCTATATCAGGTGCGCTGCAAACTCGGGAAAGTTTATTCTCTTTCATGATAGTTAATTAAAAAAGCAATCAAACCATATAATACTGTTTATGGATGTTTCAGAAGTTATTCAAGACAAAAAAACATACTACTAGTGCCTTTTGTAAGCGTTACTAGAACAGAATTTTTGATAGGATTAAATTAGATCAAGAAAATTGCAATCTATTGGCTATGCATTAAAGAAAAACAATTAATTCCAAATTATCATTCATTTCAACATGTTATGGACAAATCTTTAATTAAAAA